TCGTTAAAATCTAAGATTATCATTTATCATGTGATCATTTATGTAATACTGTAATATCAATGTATTATTAATGTGACGATAAAATCTGTACTATTAATTTTGATTATGATACTTGACATAGGTTTGATTAATTAGTATATGCAGGACCCCAATATGATATGTCATATAATAATAATATGACATGATTTTATATCATATGGCGTATGAGTTATATGATCCTATATCATGCAAACATATTATATGACATTATGATATGAATAGTGCAGTGGCGTGTATACTAACGTAATATAAGTGAAGCAAAATTATGTGATTTAGTGTGATTTTGTTTAATCACACCAAATCACATAATTTCCGTGTCCCTGCTTGAAATTACTTTATACAATGATTCATTAGAATATATATTTATTAATTGAAAAAATAAAAGGATGCAACAACTACCAAGAAACAAATCATCAACACAGTTACTTGAAATTACTTTATACAATGATTCATTAAAAAATATATTTTTTAATTGAAAAAATAAAGACTTTTTTTTACTGATTCTATATCAAAAGTTCCTCGTTTCGGTAATTCCGGAAACGTTAAATCTACCCATGTGTGCACATACATCGAAGGTTGTCTTTTTTTCTTTAATTTTAGTTCTCCTTCCTCTAACTCTAATTTTATATCTTCTGATTGGGATTTCTGTGCCATTTTAATCAAATCATCCAAACTTATGGTATCTTCGTATCCATTATCCACTACTACTACTGGTGCTATTTTCTTAGAATTGTCCGATTTAAGTTTCGCAATCTTTTCTAATTTTAACCTTTCTAAATCTTTTCTTAACACTTTAATTGGAACTTTATACCCTTTATAACGTTCAATAAATTCATTTCGAAGATTTTCCATTATTGGTTGACTGTGAAGTCGAAAAAATTGTTCGCGTATAACACTATTCATAGTCTCTACATCACATGCATGCGACCAATAACTATCATGTACAGAGGCGAATGTCAATCCTTTTTCTTTGCACGCAAGAGCAGTCATAAGCATATGAGTAGCATCAAGTG